GTAAAATCCTTACCACATGTTCCCAGCAACATTTCTAACCAAATTTTCATGTCAGGATTCCTTCCAAAGTCAAAATTCTGGTTCTTTCGTCACCTTAGGTGAAAGAGAGAGAGAGAGAAAATACCTGGGGCATTCTTGTCCAGTCACTCTTTGGAATGAATTTTCCTAAGGGTCAGGGCCGGCTCTGGCTTTTTGGCCACCCCAAGCAAAAAAAAAAAAAAAAAAAACGGGGCAGCCAGAATGGAAAAGCAAAAAAAAAAAAAAAAAAGCTGGTGCCTGGAGCCGGCCCTGCTAAGGGTTACCCCTAGATAAAGTTCTTTCCCGCTGCAAGGATGAAGGCTCATGATGAAAGAGGTTCCATGTTGTTGTTTGTTAAAATGCAGATCAATCTGTTCCTGCCCCCCTTCCTTGCCAAAGAATGGCCACTTGACAGGTGATTGCCAATAAATGTTGACACCGGGCTAGAGGCATCGGCTTGTCTTTGAGGAACTGGTTTATGCCATCCCCAAACTTGTCTGGTAAACACATTTCAGTTATATTTCAGTTTATGTTCATAACTTTACGTATAACGTTGCTACATACATTTCACCAGGATATTATAGACCAGCAGGTTATTAGTTTTTTCAAATGATTCCTCACAAGGTATGTTTTGTACAAAGATTATTACAGTTGTGTGGAGGGTGTGAATACAAGGCTGCATTCAGTCCCAGAGACACAATCAAATCTTGTGTTTAAACAAGTGTTTTGGTTAAACAGGATTTGGCTAAGTGGGATTATGCTTGTATTTCCATTTGGAATGCTGATGAATTTGCACACAGCTGGCAGGATACTTTCTTTTCCCCTCCAGCATTGCATTAGGTAAATGAGCATTCTTTGCAAAAATCTGATTATGTGAGTTGTGTTGTAAATATTATGCATTTCAGTATAGATTACAGCTGTTTGGCTAAAAGAATAGGATGATGACTTAACCCTATTTAACATTTTGCATTTTTTTCCTGTTTTGGGTACTACTAGATACATCTCTGACATCTACCTTGCTAGTATATTTTGCAAGCTTTGAAGCAGAAAGTATCTAACTTCATTTACTATTGTAAGGAAAAGGCCAGAGCAGTAGCTAATCAAATTTAGTACTAAGTAAAAGTGAGTGACGCACATCTTGTAGGGAAATAAATTTAAAATTTATGATGGTTGGCACCTTATAATATAGAATTACTGTACCTTTCTATGTTGTCAGACAGCCAAAACTTAATCAAGCAGAGAATTGTTGGAAACCTCACTTACAGAAATAACAGCTGCTTGGGGAAAAAATGAGGCATAAGCTGCCGTTTCCTTTAAAACCTAATCCATCCAGTAGTTTACAGCTGTTCAAAAATTGTGACTCTCTTCTCTTTAAACAAAATTAAAGTGTACACACACTTTGGTTTGTGTATGATATCCTTATGTATTGATTGGGTAACTCTTGCCGAATGTAAATAAATTTGGTTTAAAACATCGGTTCATTTGATCTAGTTTGCATTGGCAGTGCTAGCTATGGATAAAAATAAAAGGAACTGATCCTTAGCTGGTGTAAATTGACTTCAGTGGAGCTGACATTTTACACCAGATGATGATCTTGCCCAAAGAATTTAATTTTTTTTATTTTTCATTAAGCAATAAAAATGTTATTGTTAATACCGCCTTCAACCAGATCTAGATTAAGGGTGCCATTCAAAAAAATGTTGTTCAAGTTTACTGTTACTTCTTCAGGCTTAAAGTTTATATCTTATTACTCTGCCACCTTGTATGTGTGGTGTTTATTAAATGCCCCCAAAAGAGTATCTCCATGATAATGATGAGCAGGTTTTTAGGGCAGTGCCTAATGGGGCCCCATTGTGCTAGGCACTGTACAAGCAGAGTAGTAGATGGACCCAGCCCTGAAGAGCTTACAGTCTAAATAGGCAGGGTGGACATAGGGTGGGGGAAGGGGTAGAACACAAGCATAGTGAACAATGCTTGGTGGGAACAAACGTCATGTTAATTCCATGATTTTGGGGACAGTGCAGTTAGTTTGGAGGGGAACAGCTAAATGTAAAGAGAAGTGAAGGGAGGGGGGACATTGAAGGGAGGAGGGTTGAGGAGGGCAGGGAAGAAGAGAGTAAGAGGGGTAGGAGTGAAACTGAGGGGAAGAGACTGAGATAGGAGGCGGGTTTGGCGCAAACGACCAATAACAAAGGGCAGAAAAGTCCAGTGAGACTTGTAGAAAGCTCTCTGAATGTCTGAAAGCTCCTGCTTTTGCAGCTGCTTGCTCCTACTGGCTAGTCTGAGGCTGGTTCCTCCCTGCAGTTTCCCCCAAGGCCACATGGCAGAGTGGAAGGTTAGAAAGGTATCACCTGTGTCTTATGCCCCCAGAGGGAGTTTTCTGCTGCACAGTTCTGGATTTTGGAGGAGGGGTGCTGGGAGAAGGGGTGGCCGGGGCCCCAGCTGGGCCCCATTTCACCCCCTTCCCCTTCTGTGCAGACATTGCTGCTGCTTCCTACCAACTGAAGTTTCTTTATCTTTGCTACTATGATCAAACTCTAAAATGCAGCTATACAGCTATGAGCTGTGATCTCATAGGATACCATAAGCAAGCTCGGTCCTTGGCCACAGTTAAAGAAAACCAAAAGTGCTGCAGGTACTAGTGTTGGTGATTCCACAGGTGGTACCTCATCTTTTCATATACACAACAAGGAGCCTTATTGCTTCAACCCATATCTTCTCTGACTCCCCATTTATTTTAGAATCCATTTCAAAACTGCCTGTATTGTTTATAAATTCGCGGAGACTTTCTCTTCCCTCCCTCCTTCCCTTTAATTTTCCTTTATATCCTTCTTAACCCCCTCAGCTCATCTACCATCAGCTGCCTTTGGCTGTTCCTGTAATTTCTGTTTATCTTTTGACCCTTTGAAATTGTGCATTAGACATGCATTGTAGAAAAACTGAGTTTACAGGTGCATATATAAGTAGGGCCCTACCAAATTCACAGCCGTGAAAAACATGTCACGGACCATGAAATCTGGTCTCCCCTGTGAAATCTGACTATTGTAGAGGAGACCAGCTTTTACAGAATTGGGCAGCTGGAGAGCGGTGGCTGCTGGCCGGGAGCCCATCTCTAAAGGCAGCAACACTAGCAGCAGCAGTGCAGAAGTGAGGTGGCATGGTGTGGGGGGGAGGTGTCACTTCAGGGGGGGCAGGACTGGCCTTACAGGCAGGCAAATGGGTGACCACCCAGGGCCCCATGGTCAGGGGTGCTGTGGTCACCACCCCCCCCACACACACACACAGAGCCAGCCCAAGGGCCCTTTAACTCCCAAGCGGTCAGGCTTCAGCTGCAAGTCCTGGAGGGGCTAGGGAGTGACAGGACTTCCTCTTCCTCTGCACGGGCTGTTCCTGAGGCCAGGTCACACGCATTTCTAGGAACCTTCCCCGGCTGCAGGAAGCTCGATCACTGGCTGGGAGTCCAACTCCGAAAGCAGCGCTGTTGCCAGCAGCGCAGAAGTGAGTGTGGCATGGCATGGTATTGCTACCATTAGTTCTGCGCTGCTGCTGGCAGCTGCCTTCAGAGCTGGGTGCCCAGCCAGCATCTGATCGCCAGCTGCCCAGCTTTGAAGACAGCAGCACAGAAGGGAGGGAAGGGGGGTGTGATGCTGTTTCTAAGAAAGGTGGCCATTTATATCACTGTTGTTACCAGTTACACAATTACCATAAATCTTGTACAAAGTATGTCATGTAAGCTATCAATAGAAAAGTTGCTAAGTATGATTATCTTGTTTCTATGCATGTATCATATTTGCATCTGAAGTTATGAATATTGGCAATGTACTTGTATTTTAAATGTGTCGTATTCCTGGGTGACACCCACCAGATAGCTGTCTAGCCCTGATGTAAATCTATGTATCGTCGGCCCATTAGGAACACTCAGCTCTCATAATGGGCCATTGAAGAAACTCATCTCACTCAGTAAGTCTGCCTGCAGATGCCTCAGACAGTAAGGAGCCAATGGCCACCCCCTGTGATTCAGCAAAACATGCAGGGGCATGTGATATGCTCATGTGACCCTAGACCCCATCTCGGGCCAGTCATTTTCCATGGACAAGGGCTATTGGCTCTGTTTGGGACAGTAAATTTCCATGCACGTGGCAAAGGATATAAAAAACACCTGAGACACTTCCTCTACCAATCACACTACTTATATATTTGAAGGGTGTTGTAGTGGATCGGGCACTGGACTGGGAATCTGGAGACCTGGTTTAAATTCTCAGTTCAGCCAGTGACTTTGGACAAGTTATTTAATCCATCTATAAAATGGGAATTATACCTCACAGGCTGTTGTGGTGATAAGTCCATTAATGCTTTTGAGCCACTTAGATACTACAGTGATAAGGGTCATATAATTACAGACATAAGTGTGTGTATGTATATGTATATGTAATATGCGTATGTAATAAAGCATAATATATTTTCCAGGTTAAGCAGAATCTCTTTGATTTTTAAGAATACATTTTGCAGTGCTAGGTAACAAGAAAATACAAATCAATAGCAATCATGTCATGAGAAGATGCAGTATATTCTCCCAGTAACTGAATGTCCCTTTGGATTGGGTCCCTCACTCCCTACAATTAAATTGAATAGTCGGTCACCATCTTTCCACAGATAAATTTGCAAACTTCTGGTAAATGAATTTGTGAAACAGAACTTGAAAAAATTGGCAACACTGTCAGATATGATACATATTTTTTCTTTTATACTGTGTCATATTTCTAATGTCCTCTAGCACAATATATATGTATGTATGTATGCAAAATTGCCTAAAAATAATGTTTCCTTTTTTGTGAAAGTAATTATATCTGTCTTCTTCCCAATGTTCAGTAGCTGTTTCACTTCTAACATTTCCTTATTGACTCTACAGGAGAAATACCCTTATTGTTGCAAAATTTTCTACAGCGTAATTTAGTTCATCGACACATTTTGTGTTGTTATAGAGGATCTTGATGATTTAAGAATGGAAGGAGTAACCAGTGTGATGACTTCTGGGAGTAAATTTAATCAAACTCGAAGCGCACATCCTGCTGAACCTCAGGCAAAGGTCACGTTGAACATCTGCGCAAGGTGTGCCAGGTAAAACAATAGCCAGTCATAATAACAAGTAGATTCTTTTCCCCAGCTTTTTTAGATAACTACTATGCTTACTTAAGGGTCAAGGAGTGACCGCCCCTTTGCTAAAGGAAAATAACTTTGCCCCGAGCTATCCTTTGGCCTATTTTGGCAACTGAGTTTTGTGTAATGTGTGATACAGTTCACATCAACAATGAATCAGAGTATAGGTAGTTTTGAGCCTTACTTCACAGCTTGAAATTATTTTAAGCCTTTCTGAATTTCATTAGTTATCTGAGCTTCTGTGGCTTTTCAAGAGATGAATCAGGGAATTTAGCAGTTCAAAATCAATTTAAAAGCACCTGTATAAATGGAGGTTTAGTTGCACAGGTGCAGTTCATGATTTCATAAAGTTGCATCTTAACACTTCATAATCTCATCCTGTTTCACCTCTTAGAAATACTTTAATCAGTTTGAACCCTTTTTAATTTTGGTAGCTGGAAGTAATTTTTGTATTTCCAGTATGAGGGCATACAAACATCTTGGTATTCCTGAAGCCAAGTCAACTAAGAATGCAACACTAGTTGAAATGCCTTAAATTTTAGATTTAATCTCTCTGTGTAGACACAAGATCATTTAGAAGCAGGATTTAAGCCTGTTTAAATGGCAAAACTAGTCTTTTTACCCTTAGGTAAATGGCATAGATTAACAAGACCAATACAGAGGTTTGCTAATTTTCTCTCCTTGCCTTTGCCACTGGCTGTTCTGTGTTGTTTTAGAGGGGATTAGCTACTTGTATATAGAAATAACCTGTGGTGAAATCAAATTGGTAGTTTTGGCGTGTGCCACCCTAGTTTTGTTTTTTCCATTTTAAGATTATCGCTTTTTAAAATGACACCTGTTTAGGGATTGTTTGCATTGTTGTAACCATGTTGGTCCCAGGATACTAGAGAGACAAGGTGAGTGAGGCAATATCTTTTATTGGTGAAATAGATAAGCTTTCAAGTTTACACAGAGCTCTTCTTCAGGTTTAGGGATGTTGATTTGAAAACACTTGCTGGTACTCCTAATATACCCACAGGCATGCTAAATCCCCATGCTGTACCACATTGTCCCCAGGATGTGATACCTCTGAGAATTACATGGCAGCATTGTCAACACAGCTGTGTCAACACTGTGAGCTGTAAAGCCTGTAATTCTCAAAAATTTTGCTTTTGGTGGCGAGGTGTTGTATCTTCAGAAATGACTAAAATATAGTACTGTACTCTAGAGAGGAAATGACTAAAATAGGGTACTGATGACCATCTTCCTAAATCATAGGGAATAAAATGCTAATATTGTGCAATATTCTTCCAAACAACCAAATATGTAGTAACTTACATTTTCTCAACTCAGTGCTCATCCATATGTTAAAAGTTGGTAACAAGTAAATTAGGAAGGTTTGGGTTTTCTATATGTAGACATGTACAAAGATTTAATACAAATACTTCATATGGATCTATTTTTAAGGAGTGAGGTTAAACCTACCTTTGGAAGTGTTTGAATTGATACATTTGGTGTCAATGATTGCATTGAAATTAATTGTTGTAATTTCATATTACCTTTCACATCTCTTTATTATTTTAAGGGTTAAAAATGAATAGTTCCATGTCCTGCTTACCATAGTGGCCGTGGCATTCTTATGAGGCAAGAAGTCATTCTAGGAGCCATACAGCTGTTGTTTGGCCACCAAATCCAACTCACCCCTATTCAGTGGGTTGAATCTTTGAGCCAAATCTTGGCCTATTCTAGGGCCCCTCTGCACCACTCTAATGGTGCACATGGACCTTTAGAACTGCCTTAGATGGGCAGTTGAAGATTTCCCTGGTGAGGTTTTCCCCTAAAGGCTAATTCAATGCTGACTCAAAAACTGTGGGAGGGGACAGTTGTGAAGGAGGGTTATAAATGCAGCTTTGCTGGGCCTCGTGTGCCAAATAGTGCTCATATGCACCTATGGGTTGATCTGTACACTTCCCTCTCCCAGTCCCATTTGATGATGGCAGAGAGTACCTGACTGAAAATTTATGTCTCCCCCATACTCATCACCTGAGTATCTGAACACCTGCCTCCATTCCTTTGGCTCGTGCTGCTGTTCATCAGCCTCTTTAAGCTTCCAAGGAACCATAGACCTTTCTGCCCCAATGCCATTGGGGGAAAGCTCTAAAGTTAAAGATGGGAATTGCCATTCCCCTCAGTGTTGAGGGGACTTTATCATTCTCTTCAAGAAGGTATGAGGTCCAGGGATACTACTGGAGCTTCAGCTGCTCATGACACAGTAGTTGGGAAGAAAGCCATTTTTCTCCTCTGTACTTGGTGAAGCAGTTGCCTCCATGTCTTTTGTTTTCTCCACAATGGACTGCTCCAGTGGGTTCTACATCCAGCAGCCCAGCTACTGGAAGCATACTATGCTAGTACTCTAAAGACTGCTTTAGTTTCCTATTGGTTTCCAAGTGCAATTCAGTATGTTGATACACATCTTTAAAACTTTGTCTTGGGTTCTAGCTACCTGGCAGACCACCTCTCTCCAGAAGTTGGTCCGGTAAAAGATATTATCTCACCCACTTTGTCTCTCTGTTTTCCAGCAAGGCCGTTGAAGTCTTTCAATGAGTTGTTGCAAACATTCTGTGGTGTTTAGTGGAATTTAACTCCCTTGACAGTATGTCAAAGCCTACGTTTATTTGCCTTCGGGGCATGCTGTGGTGCCTATTTCTGTGTCTGAGTTTTTGCTTAAGGTTTTGGGAAGGGTATTTTTATTTTCTTATTTTATCTTTTTTATTTAATTAATGTTGGTAGTATTACACCATGAAACTTTGGGGTTCACCTAGACCAGTAAGGGCTTGTGTCACCACCTATCCTGGGTGCTTCTGTGCTGTTCAGCTTTAACTCAGAGCTCTGATATCACTAGCCTGCTTCCCAGCACAATGCCTGGTTACTCCTTGCAGAGTGATACCAACAGCCCTTCCAGTCCCAAGTCTCCCTAAACCCGTCTCCCCTACTGTGCTCAGCCCCTCTCACTATAGCACTCACAAAACCTTATCAAGTTCACTGCTCCTTCAAAGAGACAGTACACAGCACCAGCCTGTTAGTTTGGCTGAGGATTTTAATATTCAGTTTGAAACACTGCACTGTGAGGGGTGTGTAATAAAACAAGGTTAAGTTTATTAACACAGAACAGATATTTGTGATACCAAATAGAAGGAATGGAAATAGAAATGGTTACAAACAAACAAAAGTAAAAGTATGCTTCTAAGACTAAAACCTAACTTAACAAACTACAGTCTTCTGTTCAAGGTAGATTTTTTTCACCACAGTTGCTCTTCCAGTATGGCAGTGCTTAACCAGGATCCAACTCAGAGCTCAAAGCACTTAGTTTAATTGTCTCTTCAGATGAAGGATGCCCAAATGGCTTTTCCTCCCTGCATACATCCTCAAGGTTTTATCTTTGTTTCAAAGTCAGGAAACCCTGTTGGGGGCTCAGCTTGTTGTGTCCACCAGGGAGCTGACGCCATGTTAATTTTTGCAGTCTCCTCCCCCGGGTCAAAATAGTTAGGAGGCCATCTCCCCCAGTCGCTAGTTTGATGGTTTTGTTTAACTTTTCTGTAAATGTACTTTCACTGCCTCTCCTTGTTCAATTTACATTGGGGACACATTCAAGCAGACTGGTCCACATTCCTTAGTCTAGGGTGGGGTGACGTAAGCCCTACATGCCAAACACATTTTTAAGAACATATTTCTAGCACATATTTATATTTTTTCCTTTATCACCTGTACGTGCACCCTGCAATAATATTAATGGACCAGTGTGTTACCAGTTCACATATGATACCTTATGTGATACCTTTTAGATATAGATTAAGACAACACTGAGCTGGTCAGGACAGCTCAATCTCACTTCTACATACCAGGGAGCCCCTTGTCCTCTGGCACTGGGGTGCTCTTAGGGTCACATTGATCTATACTGTGTTTATAGATATGCACCCTGATCATGGTAGTGGGGCCCTTTGTAAAAAAAAAAATGGAAAAATAAATACAAATTAATATAAGTTATTAGAACTTTTAGATACAGTTAAACAGGTAAGCGTGTTCCCCTTAACTTCACCCATTTTATGGCTTGTAATAATGGAGCTGTATAAAGTGACTTAAAGTGAATACTCCCATTTAATTTCAGTGGAAGTTTTATAGGTAGGAGACTTGTCAAATCAGGTTACCTTTTATCACAGGTATTTTGGCTGCTTGTGGAATGAATAGGACTTCTTCACTTATGCATTTTTTGCTTAATTGGCAGAGGTTTAAATATTGGGAAATGTGCATCTTGGCTTAGACAAAAATGTAATTTTACCCCTGCATTTGCATATCCAGGTCCTTTCACCCTCCTATACTTTTAAAATGTGCCCTGCTCCAATTCGACTCCTAGGCCAAGGCACTCTCTGATGCTTCTCCTAGAGGTTTCCAGTCTTCCTAAGAGGAGGCTTTGTGACACTGCAGAACTGTTCTGAGAGGGATTTATGTAGATGACTTCAGGAGTTCAGCAGTAATGCTTTTCAATAGTAGCCTCTTCATCATTAATTCTTTTGATCTGATTGTGGATATGATACACGTTTTTATAAAATTTCTACCATAATTCTTTGCCATAATCATCATCTCATTTTATCCACTGTGTAACAAAAGTTTACTCATAAAGAACATCTTTTTCAGTACATGCTCCAAGGTCCTGACTGCTCTCTCAGGAGAAAGTGAGAGCTTTCTTAGGAAGTGCAGGAAATAGGAGTCTAGAAATATCCAGGCATGGGCATAATTTGAACTAACTGCAAAACGTTCCTCCTTAGATTGATGAATGTGCAGGTAGGTCTTTTTTTTCTAAACCTCAAATGCTGATAATTTCCCTCATTAATCCTCTTCAATTGATAGGTATATCAAGGCCAAGATCAGTACTATTAATAAAAGGTAACATTCTCTTCCTAGAGATATGGACGATAAAGATGTAG